CATGGGGACACTGTCCTTCCAGGATGGTTTTGGAGACTGAGCATCCCTTCAGCTAGTGCATTTCTTCTCCCTGTGCTATTATGAAACTGGTTCAGTCTAAACTGAACTTCACCTGTGCAGGCCAGCCAGCCCAGCCCAGCTGTGACAGTCACCCAGGTCACCTTCATTTGATCTGGGTGTTCCTGAGATGCCTCTATTCCAGTTGTGTGCATCAGCTCTCTGCTACTGTAACAAATACCTAAGATAATCACCTTACAAAGCCAAGAAGTTTGTTTTGGCTCATACTGTTGTAGGTTTTGGTTCAAGGTTGGCCATCCCTGCTGCTCCGGCCTAGGGCGGACACCTTGGAGGACAGTCACTCTCTTTGGCTGGGAAGCAAAAAAGACAAAGAGAAAGGACCAAAGTCACACAATTTCTACCAGGGACACACCCCTAATAATCCACAGACCACTCCAGCTAGGCCACTACTTCTTAAATTTCTACCACGTTTAAGAGTCACAAGACAATGACTAAGTGTAGCACATAGACTAAAGTAGGGGCCACTGAAGACCTAACTGTAACAGCTGTGTCACTTCTGTTGATGCCTTAAAAAAAAAAAGAATTATAATTCTAGCTCACAGTGGTGGCACATGCCCATGATCCCAGCACTGGGGAGACTAAGGCAGGAGGATCTTGAGTTTGAGGCCCACATGAGCTACATAGTAGATAATTCAAGGTCAGCCTGGAGATAGCGAGAACCTGTTTCAAAAACCAACTAACCTCCCCCAACCTCTCTTCTCAAAACAAACACAAAGCAAAAACACTACAAAACAATTGTGGCTCCACTCCAGGTCAGCCTGATTTCAAAGTTCAGTCTCTTTCTACATAATGCTGAAGTGACTTGTCAAAACCACACTTCTGTGGTGGGGCCTTGTGGCACACACCTGTGATCCCAGTGCTTGGGGGGCTGAGGCAGGAAGGTCAGCCTGAACTACATAGGGAGACCCTGTCTCAAACAAGCAGACTAAAAGCTGGCCGGTGAGATAGCTCATCGGACTAAAGCACCTGCTTAGGCAAGTGCACAGGGACTGCAGTTCAGTCTCCGGCACTACATGCTTCACCAGCCCCGCCCCCAAGGGGGACTGAGCCAGCCACATACACACATACAAGAACTAAAAACTAGAATAACTACTATGAAAACAACACTATGCAATATATTATTGTAACTGTCCTACTAACCTGTTTTGAAACTGTCTCTTTGCTATTTTTCTCAATAAAATTAATTAAAAAATAAAATAAAATAAAAACTAAATTAAAGTCACGTTTCTAAGTAAAACTTGTGCCAATATTCTATCTCTGAACTGCCTCCTCACCTGAGGAGAAGAAAAAAAGAAAACATCCCAGCCTACTGAAACCCAATACCCCAGTCCGGCAGCCTCTGTGGTCACCCTCGGTATCCTCGGCTTTCTTCAGCCCACACTGAGATGGGGTGCCAGGCCTTGACAGCCCAGGGTGCCACAGCCACGTCCCTGTCAGATGTCCTCCCCTCCACTTACCATGTTCCTAATATTTTCTTTCCTTCTTCCTTTTTATTTTTATTTTAGGGAAGGATTATAGGGTTTTCAGGGTCTCACTACTAGATCAGACTCATAGTGCTGGGATTACAGGTGGGCACCACCATGCCCAGTCTCAATTGCCATCTCAGTGGGCCCCGGGGACTGGGCCAGCTCGGCAGGCCCGGGGATTGAACCCTCGGCCCCTACACTTCAGAGGGTTTGTTTTCTTCACTTTTCTCATTTGAGTCTCAGCATTCTTTTCAGCTATGCTTCTGACCTTGCATGGTTGGTTTTTTGTTTTTTGTTGCGGAACTGGGGATTGAACTCAGGCTCTTGTGCTTGCCAGGCAAGCACTTATTCTACTGAGCTATCTCCTCAGCTCACCTTGCATGGTTGGAAAGCTTGCCCAGTAGCAGTCATACAGGGGAATAAAACTCCCAACCTGAAAGATACCTGGGCCCAGTTTGTGTTCTCAAAAACTGAAGAATGAATTTTAGGAACCATGGAGGTCAAAAGCAGAATATATTTACTGGAAGAAAGAAAGCTCCTGTCTGAGAGAGGGACAGAAGGGGAACCTGAGTGGATTGCCTGGGAAGCTGTCTTTTTCAGAGATTTTATAGAGTAAAACCATGAGGTGAGGCAGGTCAAAGGTGGAAAACATGGTGTTGCAGGCAGCTAAGATAGAAATATTATAGGCAGTCAGACAGGGCCAGGCCCTCAAGGAGACTGCATGGACCTCCCTAAAGATAGGCATCCAGGACTGATGTTCTAAATGAGTCTCTCGCCCTAAGGACACCTGGAAGTCAGGAATCCAGCCCACTGTAGGAAAAGCTCCAGGTCTGTATTCATGTCCGCTTGTCATGCCTGCTTGCTAGGTGACTCGATTCCCCATTTGGTCCTGGATTTAATCAATTTTACCTGAGCAATGGTGCTTGTAACTGTATCGGTTAACCATAGTTTTGTCTCATCTCATGTCTACCTAAGCGAGTTCCCATGTTCTCCACCTTAGATCTGTCTCACGAAATGGTTTTACTCTATAAAAATCCCTGTAAGACAGCTTCCGGGGCAACCCCCTCAGGTCCTCCTTCTGTCCTTCTCTTGGACAGGAGCTTTCTTTCCCTCAATAAATATATTCTGCTGTTAACCTCTGCTGTTCCTAAAATTCATTCTTCTGTTTTAGAGAACAAAAACTCTCCCCAAGTCAGGTTGAGAGTTTCATTCCGCTGTATCAATGAGAACTCCCTAGATGGCCATGAGGTGGGACAAAACTATGGTCAACCAATGAGATTACAAGCACAGTTGCTCAGGTAAAATTGATTAAATCCAGGATGGAATGGAACAGACATGGCAAGCAGGCATGAATACAGAACAGGGGCTTTTCCTGTAGCAGGCTGGGTTCCTGACTCTTCCAGGCATCCTTAAGGTGAGACTCATTTAGAATCTCAATCCTGGATAGGCATCCAGTTTTTTAGGGAAGTATGTGGCTGTATCTGTTTACTCTTTTGTCTTGAGGTCTGGCCCACAGCAGGGGTCTGTCTCTCCCAAAGTTGCAAAGTCACCTTGTCTTCCATATTGTCTCCTTGAGGGCCTGGCCCTGTCTGACTGCCTATAGTATTTCTATCTAACTTAGTCAGCTGCCTGCAACTGTAGGACCATGGTGGAACTACTGCACAAGTAGGTATGGGTCCCACAGGCTTGCCTCTTTCCTGGGGAGTCTTTGCTGGACAAGTGGGGATTCAAACTTGAGAACGAGGCAGGAAATGCAGCCTGCTGCCTGAACGCTGGATTTGTGGTAATGTGGAGGATTTGACTTGAAGCACTGGAATTTTATTCTCTCATACTGTTCAATTTTGTTTTTTGTTTCTGTGGTTATTTCTTTTGTAAAGGCGATTAAGTAGTTCCAGGAGAGATCTGTAAGCTGTTTTATGAAATGGCATGGCTCCCTTATACTTTTGTTCTTCCAATTGGTATATGTGACTTTCAGGCCTCTTGTATTTGGAAGGCTTGAGTGTACAGACTTTGAAAAGATGTTTTCGTTTTAGCTTGTGGATTAAATGCATCTCTAAATTTAAAAATGAAAAAAAGCCAGTTTTTTTTTTTTTT